GATCCACCAGGTTAGGGAATTCCTTGCTTGGCTTCACAGGAGCATGGGCAAGTCCAGAGAAGAAGCATGCTTGTTTCAGGTAGACAAGATGTTGCGTTGAAGAGGTCTGGAATATAAATAGAAAATAATACACACTTGAGCGAAGCTACCACGAGGCCTAAAACTCCAAGATGTCTTGGAGACTTGAGAGAGAGTTTTTTTTTTTTTTTTGGAAGGAAAACTGTCTGGAATGTTTCTAGGATCAGACCAGGTGTCCCAGGTAAGTTTGAATTTGTAAGTATTTGTTAGGAATTATAGGTCCAGAATAGGACAATATATCACACTTTTGTGATTTGGTACTGTGAACAGGTTTGAAAAGAAATATTTGAAGCTGTCCTGGCAGGGTAGATGGTTAAGGCATTCTACAAGTCTGACTGTTATTAGGCAATTTTTGGTTCATTTGGAAGATGAAAGCGTCTAGGGGTAGAGTTTTGTACCAATTTGAACCCACAGATCTGGGATGCCTGTAAACCAGAAAAAGACTAACTATAGCAAATGTCCCCCACTCCCTTTATTGGGAAGGCTTTGGATAGGATTTTCCGGGGTTTGGTAGCCAAATGTTGCACTGAAAGGAAGGGGCAAATTTAAGTTTTGATTAGGAGGAGAGGGTTTGGAATCTTCAACTGTGTCAGTTTCTACTATAGAGGGGGTACATATTCAGTAACGTGAACTGACTTTAAGGTACGGACCTAGAATACAAGATCATGTCTGTTCATTGCCCTTACCCTGTTAGCTGCAGTCTGACATACTAAAACATTAAGAGGTGGTTGCAGAGATGGGCTTGAGAGTGTAAATAGAGCCTATAAAAGAGCGTCTCATACGTCATTTATGCAGAATTTTTCAATGAATGAACATCTTCTATTTATACAGTGAGATGTTTGTTTAAAGAGCAACTGCACTTTTGTTGAGAAAAGAAAAACATTCCCTTCTGGGTGATCTATGTACAGTGGGGATCGAAAGTTTGGGCACCCCAGCTAAAAATTTGTATTAATGTGCATAAAGAAGCCAAGGAAAGATGGAAAAATCTCCAAAAGGCATCAAATTACAGATTAGACATTCCTATAATATGTCAACAAAAGTTAGATTTTATTTCCATCATTTAAACTTTCAAAATAACAGAAAACAAAAAAATGGCGTCTGCAAAGGTTTGGGCACCCTGCAGAATTTATAGCATGCACTGCCCCCTTTGCAAAGCTGAGACCTGCCAGTGTCATGGATTGTTCTCAATCATCATCTGGGAAGACCAGGTTATGTCAATCTCAAAGGTTTTAAATGCCCAGACTCATCTGACCTTGCCCCAACAATCAGCACCATGGGTTCTTCTAAGCAGTTGTCTAGAAAACTGAAACTGAAAATAGTTGACGCTCACAAAGCTGGAGAAGGCTATAAGAAGATAGCAAAGCATTTTCAGATGTCAATATCCTCTGTCCGGAATGTAATTAAGAAATGGCAGTCATCAGGAACAGTGGAAGTTAAAGCAAGATCTAGAAGACCAAGAAAAATATCAGACAGAACAGCTCGCAGGATTGTGAGAAAAACAATTCAAAACCCACGTTTGACTGCACGATCCCTCCAGAAAGATCTGGCAGACACTGGAGTTGTGGTACACTATTCCACTATAAAGAGATACTTGTACAAATATGGTCTTCATGGAAGAGTCATCAGAAGAAAACCTCTTCTACGTCCTCACCACAAAAATCGTTTGAACTTTGCAAATGAACATATAGACAAGCCTGATGCATTTTGGAAACGAGTTCTGTGGACCGATGAGGTTAAAATTGAACTTTTTGGCTGGAATGAGCAAAAGGTACGTTTGGAGAAGAAGGGGCACAGAATTTAATGAAAAGAACCTCTGTCCAACTGGTAAGCATGGGGTTGGATCAATCATGCTTTGGGGTTGTGTTGCAGCCAGTGGCACAGGGAACATCTCACGAGTAGAAGGAAAAATGGATTCAATAAAATGTCAGCAAATTTTGGATGGTAACTTGATGCCATCTGTGAAAAAGCTGAAGTTAAAGAGAGGATGGCTTCTACAAATGGATGATCCTAAACACACCTCAAAATCCACGGGGGATTACATCAAGAGGCGTAAACTGAAGGTTTTGCCATGGCCTTCACAATCTCCTGACCTCAACATAATTTAAAATCTATGGATAGACCTTAAAAGAGCAGTGCGTGACAGACAGCCCAGAAATCTCAAAGAACTGGAAGACTTTTGTAAGGAAGAATGGGCAAAGATACCTAAAACAAGAATTGAAAGACTCTTGGCTGGCTACAAAAAGCGTTTACAAGCTGTGATACTTGCCAAAGGGGGCAGTACAAGATATTAACTCTGCAGGGTGCCCAAACTTTTGCAGACGCCATTTTTTTGTTTTCTGTTATTTTGAAAGTGTAAATGATGGAAATAAAATCTAACTTTTGTTGACATATTATAAGAATGTCTAATCTGTAATTTGATGCCTTTTGGAGATTTTTCCATCTTTCCTTGGCTTCTTTATGAACATTAATACAAATTTTTAACTTTCGATCCCCACTGTATATTGCAGGGATTTAACAAACTTTGTTGCAGATTCCAACCTCCTGTCCATGTGCAGAATGAATCTGCTTGGGAGTGGTTTTATATTTATCAATCAGCAGCTGCACCTACAGGGATCTAATGAAGAAAATTGCAGGGCCTGCATCCCTTTAGACATGCTTTAACTCTGGGAGTATCTCACCAAAAATGAAATTTTTATTGTGGAGATGCTAAAACTGACTTGCAGTGCAGACTTCTGTAAAAAAAAAATATATATCAGTGAGCCAATCACTCAAGCAGGAAATTACATTTTCAGGGGGTGTTCTGTACACCTGTAAATCTGTGTACAGAACACCTCTAGGTAGCCATATTGAATTTTACAGAAAATCACAGCACTGTAGATTGAAAAGTAAAGGTCATTTTTAATAACATTCAATTACAATATGACTTGAGTCGCAATTGTATATGCTATATTATTTTTTTAATTTGCTACTTTTCTTCCCATGAAAGTGGAGTTACCCTTTAAGAATGAGACAACATGATCAACTATCATAACCGACTAATATTTAGTGAACACCCTAATTCCACTTTTCTTGGGTGATCCAATATTCAGAGGTTGCCCATTCTAATTGTCTTTTTTGTGCCCAAAAGAGGCATGTCTAGACATTGGAGAATCAAGTTCGGCAATGCCAAGACTTTTGTGCACAGCAGAAGTGAGCATATCCACATTGCGATGCATGTTGCATGAAGCTCCCACTTCAGTTGTAAAAGTGTGAGGGGAAAAAAAAAAAAAACAAAAAAAAAAAAAAAAAAAAAAAACACCTTCTGTTGCCCCTTCTACCATTGTCTCCATGTGTTCCTCATTCATTTTTCTGTGTGCCTTGTCTAGGGCAGGCAAATCCGGACCCAACTCAGAGACAGAGAAGCTGAAGAGCCTTGATATTTTGTACCACTGGATGGAGATGGCTGTATTAGAATTATTAGTTGTCCATGGAATTGCAACATAGATGCAGAAAAATCTTCTTTCGCCTGGTAGGCCGCTTTTTTGCGTGCCTGAAATACAGTAGAAGTAGAAATCGCATGCAAATGTTAAAATTGGGTCCTTCTCTGGTTGCCTCGGAGGTTAAGTGTTGTGCAGGCCTTCAACACAGCAAGTGTTCACCTGAGATTTTGCCATGGCTCCCTTTCACCCGATTTCCACCACAGGTGAGGGTATTGCCTAGTGGGGTGCTCACGGTGTTTGGTGTAGAATATAGAGTAAATATATGTCTGAAAGGAGTACGCAGAAACCCAGGTGTAGACTATCCTGTAGAGAATATTCCTCATGGCAAAAGGGCAGTAGAAAGTGCCCGAGTATATTATAAGAGCTCTAGGTGGAAGTGGCAGCGCAGTGTGCAACCAGTGGTGTGATGTAACACCTGGTTATGTACCTGATGCGAAGTTCTATGTGGCTGAGTTTTAGCATCATTCCAAACTTAGCTTGTTTTTACAGTAATGGTCAGAAAAATAGGATAACCCTTACTTACCTGTCCACAACAGTAGACCATATTAGAGTCCCTACAGCTGACTACACGCATTGCAGTAAGTACCAAGGTGGGCACCATGCAGGATCCAATGCCTGAAACAACATTGCAGGCCATCCCCAAGGTGTAGGGTCAGGGCACAGTTCCCATAGTTTTAACAAGGTTGCACCAATCAGGATGCAGCTTTTTTATTAGATGACAGTGAAAGGTAGATTGAAGAATCTTAAGATAAAATGTTAAACTAGTGAAGCTAAGAATGAGATCTCTGGAATGGAAGGTCCATCACCTTAGGAAACTATCAAAAAACTGAGGACTCACAGAGTGGGGTAGGGTTATAGGGGAATGTCCAGGGGCAGACTGACAACTCATGGGGTCCCCGGGCAATAGGGGATCATGGGGCCCCTGTGTCCTTGCCCAAACTCAAAAAAGCCTATGAAAAAAAGGTACCAGGGGCATCTTATGGGGCCCCCTACTGACCCCGGGCCCTCAGCCAGTGCCAGAGTTTCCAAATGGTCAGTCCGCCCCTGGGCATGTCCTCAAAATTTTGTCAGTGTCCAATCACTTGAAAGTACAAACCTATAACCCAGGGTCTATGGATACTATCTGTGTCTTCTACTGTATGATCAAGATATTCTGTGTACAAACTCAGCTCATGCAATTTCCACTGTTGCAATAAGAATGGGGAAAAAAAAAAAAAAAAAAAAAAGTGTGCATAGCTTTAGCCTTCCACCAAATAGTCTGTGATCCCCAGTACAAAGAAAAAACAGGCCATGCATCAGCTAATATAAACAAAATGTATTTTAAAGCTCTATTTAACAATATGATACCTTTTACACAAATACAAACTCAACTGTGAAAAGTTTAAATACCTGAAACAAAAATACACATTTGTTATGTACAAAACTGTAGTACATGTCCAGTAACTATAAAGAATCCACTAAATCATCATCACTCCACTCCTGAAAAAAAAAAAGAAAAAAAAAAGAAAAAAAAAAGTGAATTGCAAATTTGATTTTACTCTATTATATATTATTTATAAAAACTTCAGTACGCAATTTCATGAGATTCTGTCAGAAAACACGCACCTCTGCCAGAAGGCTTTTAGGGTAATGGATAATAACTAGGTCATGGACCACATTCTACCTGCAAGGCAGTGAATGGGTGACTAGTTTCATCTTTGGTACACAAGAACTAGTTAAGAGCCACGAAAGTCCTGTTCTCAACAGAGTTTTCTGATTTAGTCTTTAATCCTTCCACACCTAAATTATGTATGTCAACAATCTGCACAATGCCCTGTGCTGAGCGAACATTAATCTATTTAACACTGTGCTCTTCTGCCAGCCTGGGCTACAAGAGTTTAATAAATATAAAAATGACTGTGTGATTAGGGGGCACTGTGATGTGATGGATGGCTGATGTTAAAGAGTTTATTCCCTGAATTAAGGTTTAATTAGTACAGCCCAACAGATTTGTCAGAAAATGTTGATTCTGAGGAAGAAAAGTAAAGGTTTTCTATGGGACACTATACTACAAAATACTCCCACAAATGAAGGCCATTGATTACAAAACAAGATTTGTTAATTTTCACACACCAAAAAGAATTTTCCTATCAAATTAATTCAAGATCATGTTGCAAAAATTAGCCTCCCTAGTGGTCTGATTATGGCTGTATTTCTGTGCTCAAAGCTGTACTTTTTTTGCATGGAAATACGTTGTTTTTTTATTGTAGGTCTGTAATTTTTAGGAATAACTCACTGAAATCTGTCCGAACAAGACTCTAGTAAACCTCCCGGGTATGATAAAATTTGAAACACGAAATCGTAAATAATTTAATAAATAATCATAAAAAATAGAATAATAAATTTAATTCAATAATACAATCAAACCAAAAACACTGAAATTTGAAATATAGCGCCAAGTTCGCATCACTGAGCAAAGTCGCAAAATCGTTCTCAGTGTCTGATGACGAATTTCCCCACAAATCATTATCACTCAATTCTGAAACTAGTTCTAATTTACTATCGCTGTTCTCTAGCTGGTCTAAAACCGATTTTGAACTAAAGGGACGCTTTTTGGGACGCCATGGACATTTCTCTGTTTCCAGGCAGAAAGAACGATAAAAATGCAGGCAGGACACAGGACAAAGCACTAGGGACAAAATGTATGTTAAATGCTTTGATACAGTAATGTTTTACTATGTGATTTTAGTGTATTTAGTGAATATCACCTTTTGACATTTTTAAATTTCCTGCCGGTTCCATCCCCCGTACATCCCGACATCGCAGGGAACGGAACCCAGAAGACAGATGCCGGCATCGGCCGGAGAACATTGCCAGGAACACTGCAGGAGGGACATCGCGGGAGCGCAGGACAAGGTAAGTGCAGAAGGGATCCCAGAGCAACGCTGCATGGTATTCCCGGGTGTAGCTTGGGGTTACCGCTTTTGGTGCTGAAACTTTACCCCGAGCTACACTCGGGAATACCTCCAGGGAGGTTAACACACCCCAATGAAAGTTTTAAAAACAAAGCAAAATTTTAGACAAAAAAAAAAAATCCTAATTAACAAGAATTCAACTACAGGTGAAACTCGAAAAATTAGAATATCGTGAAAAAGTTCATTTATTTCAGTAATTAAACTTAAAAGGTGAAACTAATATATGAGATAGACTCATTACATGCAAAGCAAGGTAGTTCAAGCCGTGATTTGTCATAATTGTGATGATTATGGCTTACAGCTCATGAAAACCCCAAATCCACAATCTCAGAAAATTTGAATATTACATGCAATCAATAAAACAAGGATTGTACAGAGAACAATATCGGACCTCTGAAAAGTATAAGCATGCATATGTACTCAGTACTTGGTTTGGGTCCCTTTGCAGCAATTACTGCCTCAATGCAGCGTGGCATGGAAGCTATCAGCCTGTGAGGTGTTATGGAAGACCAGGATGCTTCAATAGCGGCCTTCAGCTCTTCTGCATTGTTCGGTCTCATGTCTCATCCTTCTCTTGGCAATGCCCCATAGATTCTCTATGGGGTTCAGGTCAGGCGAGTTCGCTGGCCAATCAAGCACAGCAATCCCACGGTCATTGAACCAGGTTTTCGTGCTTTTGGCAGGTGCCAAGTCCTGCTGGAAAATGAAGTCAGCATCCCCATAAAGCTTGTCTGCGGAAGGAAGCATGACGTGCTCCAAAATCTCCTGGTAGATGGTTGCATTGACCCTGGACTTAATGAAGCATAGTGGACCAACACAGCAGATGACATGGCTCAAATCAACACAGACTGTGGAAACTTCACACTGGACTTCAAGCATCTTGCAGTGTGTGCCTCTCCATTCTTCCTCCATACTCTGGGTCCTTGGTTTCCAAATGAGATGCAAACGTTGCTCTCATCAGAAAAGAGGACTTTGGACCACTGAGCAACAGACCAGGTCTGTTTTTTTTAGCCCAGGTAAGACGCTTCTGACATTTGTTGTTCAGGAGCGGCTTGACAAGAGGAATACAACATTTGAAGCCCATGTCCAGGATCCATCTGTGTGGTGGCTCTTGATGCACTGACTCCAGCCTCAGTCCACTCCTTGTGAAAGTCCCCAACACTTTTGAATGGCCTTTTCCTGACATTCCTCTCCAGGCTGCGGTCATCCCTGCTGCTTGTGCACCTTTTTCCCTTCCACATAACTTTTTATTAATGTGCTTTGAGACAGCACTTTGGGAACATCCAATTTCTTTTGCAATTACCTTTTGAGGCTTTCCCTCCTTATGGAGGGTGTCAATGATAGTTTTCTGCACAACTGTCAGGTCAGCAGTCTTTCCCATGATTGTGATTCCTACTGAACCAGACTGAGAGACCATTTAAAGGCTCAGGAACCCTTTGCAGGTGTTATGGCTTAATTAGCTGATTAGAGTGGGACACTTTGAGCCTAGAATATTGCACCTTTTCACAATATTCTAATTTTCTGAGATTGTGGGTTTGGGGTTTTCATGAGCTGTAAGCCATAATCATCACAATTATGAAAATCATGGCTTGAGCTATCTTGCTTTGCATGTAATGAGTCTATCTCATATATTAGTTTCACCTTTTAAGTTGCATTACTGAAATAAATGAACTTTTGCACGATATTCTAATTTTTCGAGTTTCACCTGTACATGCTGAAAAATAAGACTACTTGGACTCTGTATTTTGGAGTGATGAGACCAAAATTACAGCTTTGAACCAATCAGTTTCAAAAATTTTAGTGTCGCAAAAGGTGAGGAGTACAAAGAAAAATGCATGATGACTACATTTAAACATGGTGATGGCAGTGTCCTTCTGTGGGGCTGCATGAGTGCTGCTGGTGTCGGGGAGCTGCATTTCATTGATGGTATGATGAATTCATAGATGTACTGCTCTACATTGAAAGAAGAAGATGCTACCATCACTCCATGCCCTTGGTCGTCGTGCGCTTTTCCAACATGACAAATTATCCAAAACACACATCTAAGGCCACAGTTGCATTTCTGAAGAACAGTGTGAAAGTGATTCAGTGGACAAATATGTCTCCTGATCTGAACCCAACAGAACACCTATGGGGAATTCTGAAGAGACAAGTTAAGCATCACTCTCCATCCAGCATCCAAGCTCTAAAAGAGGTCGTTCTTGAAGAATGGAAAAAGATGCTGCAATATGTTGCCAACTTGTTCATTCCATGCCTAGAAGACTTGGTGCTGTCCTTACACATCATGGAGGTTATACAAAATACTAGATGGAGTAGTTTTTGTTGTGGGGTGTATTAATTTTTGGATCAACTAATTTGAGTAAAACTGAAGATTTTGTAATTAAGTTATATTAATAACCTTGCTTTCATGTAATGAGCTAAACTAAATGTTCTATAAAACTCACGTTTTGTCAAAATTTTGGAAATTGTTCTTGTGTTCATTAAACTATTGATTAAAATCTTACGTTTCAAAAAGGGGTGTACTCATTTATGTTGAGCACTGTATATCCGTTACAATCACTTAAAAGGGTGACTCTGACAAGAGGTGGGGATCTCTAATGTGTAGTTAATTTCATCAAGACAGTTGTGTGCATGGAGTGTCCCAGACTCACAAATGAAAAAATATTTGTTTCTCACATTTTAGATTGGGGTGCTTCGAGGTTCTGCATACTTTTTTAAAAAGCTGCGACAGAGAAAAGCTGATCTAGGTTTCAATTACCTCAAATCATGAAAAGGTGAACTAGGAGATCTGCTTAAGTGATGTGAACATGTTTTTCCACTAGCAGAAGATGATCTACAAGCACACTTTTCTGGCAAATCAATTTTTCTTGTAATTGTCAAAGTACAAAATCTGTACTAACCTCTTCCATTTTGGGCTTTTTGGATATATAATCATCATCTTCATAACCCTTTCTCTTCTTTCTACAATAAAAAGTAAAGTGTTTTCATTTTGTCATTAATGGATGATTCACAGTGAAAAAATGGTTTACGACTCTCACATTAGAAAGGGGGTGATGTCAGGGGTGTGTCCAAAATGGCGCTGGGTGCAGACGCTTTTTCCTGAGCTCGGCACCCTGCATTACTATCCGCTGCCATCCCGGAGACAGCAGCCATCTACTGTAGATCCGAAGATCCCCTGACCCCGTCTGACACCTGAAGAGGGGTGCTGGCAATTTTGTCCCCCCCCCCTCCGACCATCCGGGGCACCGAACGGCTTGCGGCCTACTGCGGCATGTGAAGCCGCAGTCTTTCCTGATTCCGCGGGCGAGACGGATCGCCACCGCAGCTGGGATGACACGCTGCCGCTCTGCCCTACGGACCCCACAAACAGGTCAGGTACTGGGACAGTCTGAGTGGGTCCCCTGGCTCTTCTGACGGTCCTGAGGACCACGCCAAGCCCCTATAACATTCCTGCAAGGCCTGGAGGCCTATTATAGTGGGGAAGTGGCCCTGGATAGGGGGGAGAAGCTCCATCTTTCAGCCCCCTTCCCAAAAGGGAGAATTAGGGGAACCTGAGGCACCTCTTGGCTAGCTTTCAGAATGTCTGTACACCTGGCCTAGTTATCATAGCCACCCACATTTCACTGGCTGTTGAAAATATTGGGGCCCACGCCTACTTCAACTGAGATTACACCATTTACTGGCGTATTATAATAATGGATCTTATGTGAATGCATCCCCGTCGGGGGGACACGTACACGCGTCAGGGGAGGATGACTAAGTGATCTCCCTGTGCTGTGCCACCGGAATATTTACCTCGGCAATTGGGCTTCTACGCCCTAGTGTACTACTCCAATAGATTGAAGGCGATTTGGAACCCTCTGGACTTCTCTTAATGCATCGCACTCCACGTACCAAACCTAAACATCGGGCCCAACAGCAATCCCCTCCGCAAGGCCATGTCGTTAAGCTAACACCTAGCCCTCCTGAGCCTGATGATAACACTCAGCTTCCGGGAGACCCTGAGTCAGATGGCGATAGCAGCAATTCCCATCGGGGATGGTTGAACCTCTTGAACAAAATCCTGAAGCCTTATTACACAAATTCCATGCTATAGTGCGAGAGGAGATTACAGTCGCCTCCCATAAATTATCTTCTGATCTGGTAAGGGGCTTAAAAGAACTGGGCCTTCGTGCTCATCAATTGGAACAATGTATGGATCTAGCGACTACGGTCTTGGAGGGTCATGAACAGGAGGTGGAGGATCTACATGCTGAGCTGGACACTTTAAAAGATAAATTGGTAGACGCTGAGAATAGAGCCCGCAGAGATAATCTCCGCATCCGCGGAGTCCCCGAGGTAATCACCGACCTATAGGGTACTGCTACCTGCTCTTTTCCAGGAGTTGGCTCCTGAGATCCCCCTGGAGCGTTTGGAGTTTGACCGTATCCACAGAGCTTTAGCTGCTAAGCCCACGGAGGGTCCTCCCAGGGACATTATTAAATTCCACTTTTACCGCACTAAAGAGCGCCTGTTGCAGGCGGCTCGGAGCCGTCTGGCTTTGGAGTTTCAGGGACACTCTATTCATCTGTTTACGGATTTGTCCCCAGTTACGATTGCCAAACGTCGCACTCTGAGACCCTATCTCCAAATTCTTCAATCAGCCGATATCAAGTACAGATGGGGCTTCCCTTTCAAGCTCTCTTATTCTCCTTCCAAGGTCGTCAATTCCAGGCTTCTTCACCAGCAGATCTTCGCCGTCACTTTCAGGAGCTTAATTTGGAGTTGCCACACTCCCAGAGTGAGGAGGCTACAATTTCTACACGCCCTCGGAATTCCCAGTCTTCGCGTAAATCTTCTTCTCCAAGCCAGGGTAGCTCTCAGGCCCTTCGATCTCTACAGGCCCAGTGCTTCCAGGAAGTCTCCGCGACTTGATATTTAGTGACTGGCAGTCAGTATACAGCTTCATTACATGTGGATATTTGCCGCCACTTTTGGAATTGAATCTGGATTTGTCCCGCTCCCCGAATGAGGAGGCTTCAACATCCGTAGGGCCGAGGGGTCCCTAACCTTCACGTGATTTATCTCTTCCAAGCCAGAGTGGATCTCAGGCTCCTCCCCCCTTTTTTTTTTTTTTTCCTCTCTCTTCTCCTCTCTGATTGGTTGAGATTTTCATCGTCTTACGAGTTTCTTATTGACCACTCACGCACAGGTGTATTAGCCTAAGTTGTTTGCATATAAATTCTGTTCTTTTTTTTATTAATGTTGAGTTGTTCCGGTGGATTGTGTCCCCCTCTGAGCTGGCTAGCGGTCTGGTTTTTTGTCCCGCCCGCTACCTAGCCTCTATGTGGGTATTTTAACCACAGGTGATTATTACGATGTTTGTATTAATCTTGCTGTTTCACAGATATATTGCTTGTATATCAGATGTCTTCTTGTTTATTTCTTTCTTCTCCATTTCCTTTTCTTTGTTCCTTGTCATGTGTGTTTTTGTAAATTTTTTTCCAGGGCTCCCAGGGAACAGGGCGGATCTGACCTTTTTTCCTTCCCATCACTATGCCGTTGAACTGGTTATCTCTGAATGTTCAAGGGATGAACTCTCTGCAGAAATGGGTAAAGATATTTAACTTTCTTCGAGCCCGTCGAGTTGATATCGCTTGTCTGCAGGAAACTCATTTTTCAACTACTTCTGCCCCAAATATTTTGATGCACGCTACCCTCAGATATTTCAGGCTATTGGCTCCACTAAACAGAGAGGGGTGCTAGTTGCCTTCCATAGCAAAACTCTGTCTGAGTGAAGCGTATTGCTGATCCTAATCGTGGATACCTTCTGCTACAGGGCACGATACAAGGTATAGAGGTTACCATAATGTCCTATTATGCTCCCAATGTTAATCCTGGAACTTTTTTGTCACACCTGTTCCCTCTTTGCTATACATCAACGGGGTACTCTCTTGATGGCAGGGGACTCCAATTTAGTGTTAAATCCCGCACTAGATAAATATCTGGCAGAGCATCCTGTCCCTTCCGCATCAGCTAAGTCCTTTGTACGTATATTAAGTACCCCTAACCTGGTAGATCTATGGCGTGAATTTCATCCCCGGGGGAAAGACTATACCTATTATTCTCACCCTGATCATTCTCATTCCAGAATAGATCATGCTTTTGTATCCCGTAAGCATCTCCCTTTGGTTCGCTCTGTCTCTATCCTTACGGTTCCATGGTCTGATCATGATCCCATTTTGGTGGTCTGTCGATCTCTTCTCTGTAAGCTGGCCTATTCTTCATGGATAATGAATGACTCCCTGCTTTCGCTGAAGGAGATTCAGGCAGAACTATAGCGCAAATCTCAGGAATATTTCCAGCTAAACTTGGCTTCGGTCTCTTCTTCGTTGACGTTATGGGAAGCTTACAAGGCTGTTCTTAGGGGACATATTATCCAGATAGCTTCAAGACGAAAGAAGGATAGGCAGCTTAAACAGTGTCAGCTTGAATCAAAGTTAGCTTCCGCATCGGCTCAATTTAAACAGTTACCTACCCCTTCGAACCGTAGATTGTTAGATCAGGCTCGCCTAGAACTGGACCTTTGTTTGACGGATGAGGCTGAACGCTCCTTATACTGGACATGCCAGAAGTGGTATAGTAAAGCAAACAAACCAGACTCCATAATGGCTCATAGATTACGTTCTTTTACACATCACCCCAAACTGATTTCTTCACAATACTCTCACAAGTAATCCTGTAGCGGTTTTGGAGGAACTCCGGTATCGACTTGCCAAACTTTATACTGATCCCACACAGGCTGATCCCCAGTCAATTTCTGACTTTTTATCGAATTTGTCCCTGCCTACTTTGACTCTTGCTCATAAGGACTTGATTGACCGTGATATCCAAATATCAGAGGTTTTGCAATGTATAGCAGACCTGAAGACGGGCAAACGCCCAGGTCCAGATGGATACATGGCGCTATATTACAAGAAATTAGCTGATGTGCTTGCCCCTCACCTTGCTGCCATGTTTAACGTGGTGAAGAGAGGTTTGAACTTTTATCCGGACTCTTTGACCGCAGATGTGGTTATGATCCCTAAACCGGATCGAGATTTTTCTTCCTGGGCAAATTATAGGCCTATTTGTCTTATTAAGATTGATATGAACATCCTTACCAAAATTTTGGCCACTCGACTGAATTCTTTCCTTTCTCGTCTGATAAAAGGGGACCAGGTGGGATTTGTCCCTCACAGACAAGCTGGAGATGCCATCAGACGCATTTTACAATTACAACATTTAGCTCATACTTGCAAAATTGATATGATGCTCCTATCTTTAGATATCAACAAGGCCTTTGACACTTTATCCTGGGCTTATCTTTTATCGGTCCTTAACTGCTTTGGCCCCTCGTTTCTACGACGGATCTCTTCGCTATATACATCCCCTCAAGCAAAACTTAAATACTATGGATTCGAGTCCTCCACGTTCTCGATTGTCAGGGGTACTAGACAAGGTTGTCCGCTTTCCCCCATACTTTTTATTTTAGCCTTGGAACCGTTGGCAGAAGCCATTCGTATGCATCCTGATATTAAGGGGATTGATGTGGCCGGCTCCCAACATAAGTTGTCTCTGTTCGCAGACGATATATTGTTGTCAATTACGACTCCAGGGGTTACTTTGCCAAATTTACTTGCGGTTCTGGATTACTTTGCAATTCTTTCGGGTCTTCATGTCAATCCTGCCAAATCAAAAGCTATGTCAATTACTCTCTCATCATCACTTTTGGCTACTTTGAAACATTCGTTCCCTTTTCAATGGCTCTCGGCCCTACCATATCTAGGAATTAAGCTCACCCCAACATATGACAGACTATACCGGGCTAATTTCCCCACTGTCTTCCAAGAGCTGACCGAGATGTTGTCCTCCTGGTCTCATTACCCGCTTTCATGGTTTGGCAGAATCAATGCGATCTGTATGACCTATTTCCCTAAATT